TGCAAATGACAAGATTTCAATTTTTTTATTGCTATAAAATATTCCATTGTATATATGTACCACCTCTTCTTTATCCATTCATCTATCAATGACACCCTAGGTTGCTTCTATAACTTGGCCATCATAAATAATGCTGCAATGAACATAGAGGTGCAAATAGCTTTTTGAATTAGTGTTTTTATTTTCTTTAGATAAGTACCCAGAATAGAATTGCTGGGTTGTATGGTATATCCATTTTTAGTTTTTGAGGAATATCCTATTTTCCATAATGGCTGCACCAATTTACCACCCCACCAACAATACACAATGGTTCCCTTTTCCCCACATCCTCGCCAACACTTGTTTATTGACTTATTGATGGTAGCCATTCTGGCAGGTGGGAGGTGATCTCTCATTGTGGTTTTAATTTGCAACTCTGATGATCAGTGATGGTAACTTCTCATATGTCTACTGCCATCTGTATGTCCTCGTTAGAGGGAAGCCAAGGGGAGCCCAGAGCGACCCTCACAATCCCGCATCCTGCGGCTGCCTCCTTTCTGGGCCCTACCCCCCCGGCCCTCCAGGTGCAGGGAGTGCTGGAGCCTCGGGGAGCAGGCCTGGGCCGGCGGGCAGTGGGAGGGTGGTCTCTACAAGGGCTGGGCGCCCAGTCAGCAAACATTTAAAGCCCAGCTCTGAGCCAGGTTACCCCACCCCACCACCCCTCACCAGCCTCACAGGGGGATGAGGGAAGGACACAGGTCCCAGGACGCTGAATCCATCTGGTTGGACTTTCAGGAAGAGCAGAGTAATGCACCCATTTTACAGATTGCAGGAAAAACACAACCCATTGCTGTTTTAGACAGTGCCAAACTATCTCCAAAGACCCCTCCCTTCACAGCCCCACAGAGAGAAGGGTGCCCATTTCACAGCCCAAGAGACGGGGTGCATAGGGCAGGGGAGTGGTGCGGTGGGAAGGACAGTGTTACCCAGAGCAGAACAGCCTGGGGGCAGGTGGACAGTGCCCACCACTTAGCACACCCGGAAACTGAGGCACAGAGGCTGAGACGCACCCTAAGTAAAAGGGGGCTTCCAACCTCCAGTTTCAGGGAGGGTGATGGGTTGGGACCGGGCTTCCATGGGCAGGAAGCTGCGCTGCAGCAGGCCAGAGCAGGGCTGGGGCTGGGCTGGCAGCCAGAGGGCAGGGCCGGACTCCGTGCCTCTCTCCCCCAGGAGAGTCCTCTGCAAACGGCCTTTTGTATGCAAACCTTGGAAGGCCCCTCTCCCTGTACTGGCTGACCTTGGGCAAGTCCCTGCGGCTCTGTCCACACCCTCCTCCCAGCACATGTCCCTCCCACACCCGGCTAAGCACCCAGGTCAGGACTGGGCATCAAGCTGCCCTGGGATGTCAAACAGCCAAACAAAATAAAGCCACCCACCAGGCCAGGGCAGGTCTTAGCTCCTATTGGTGACTCAACTCCCTGGGCCTCAGCTTCCCCATCTGAGAGGAACGCCTCCGCCCGCCGCCTCCTGATGGCAGGTGTCATTGTTGTCAGTGGGACCAGCTGCACCCAGGCTGCCCTGGGCCAGCTTCCACCTGGCCCCCTCCTGCCGGGCACGCACAGGGGCCGACTCCTCAGTGTCTACAGTGAGCCTCTGGGGCAGTGGTTCTCAGCCTTGGCTGCACATTAGAATCACCTGGGAATCTTTTAAAAATCCTGATTTCTGGGCCTCATCCTTCAGAAATTCTGTTTCTTTGTTACTAATGTTGTGGCCCCACCCCATCACAAAGAAACAGAATTTCCGGGGATGAGGCCCAGAAATCAGGATTTTAAAAAGATTCCCAGGTGATTCTAATGTGCAGCCAGGCTGAGAACCACTGCTCTGGGGCATCCAGGGCTCATGGTCCAGGCTTGATTCTGTTCCTAAAAGGGTTAGATTTCAGGTGCGTTCATGGGACAAAGTCGGCAATGGAGCTTCAGATGCCTTCCTACCCCAGAACCAGGGCACGAGGGTGAACCCTCTTCGGATCATTCTCGAAACCAAACACCAAGCCAGCCCTCCGGTCCTTAAGGATACCCTGAGCTTTAAGGCCGGCGGCTTCTGCGGGGACCCCCACCCTGCCGCTCCCCCCCAGGCTCGGGTTCCCCACAGTGAAGCGGGGCTGAGAGCTAGACAGGAACCAGGGCACCTCCCCGCAAGGCGAGGCCAGTTCCGATCTCCTCACATCTGCTGACTTCCCCAACACCTGCCGGGGCGCCCAGGACCCACAGGAAAGGGCGCGCACCTGGCCACCTAGGAGTCTGGCCTCCACCGCCAGCCTTCGGTCCCCAGGGACGCCCGCGGGATGGAGAGGGTTGGGGAAGTGCGCCCTCAGGTGGTCTCCCTCTCTGTGCCTCCCCCCATCATGGTCCCTCACCCCGCGCGCGCTGTGGGTCCCCTGTGCGCCCCCCTAGGCAGTGCGCCCTCTCCGGAAGTGCGCCCCCTTAGGCAGTGCGCCCCCTTAGGCAGTGTGCCGCCCCCTAGGCAGTGCGCCCTCTCCGGCAGTGCGCCCCCTTAGGCAGTGCGCCCCCTTAGGCAGTGTGCCGCCCCCTAGGCAGTGCGCCCTCTCCGGCAGTGCGCCCCCTTAGGCAGTGCGCCCCCTTAGGCAGTG